TTCCTGTGGCCTGCTACAGGGGCAGTTTCCCCCCACACCACAGCTCTCCAATGCCCTCTTGGCTTCTGGCCCCTCCTCAGGGACTGCAAGAGAAAACCCAAAGCAGTACAGCCTGTAGCCTGATTGCAGAGCCTCTGTGCTTGTCTGGGAAGCCCCGCGGGCTTGACATATTCTCTCTGGCTGAGTCTGACTCCTAGACAAACCTCTTCTATACTTTCTGCTCCGTTCTGCTAAAGATATCTTCCACCTCTTGACTCCCATGGCTCTGAGCTGGCAGACTATTTTAGGCAACTTCTTTTGTTTCTTACTTGAATTTTAAAGTTTTATAAACTAAATGTGTACCTATAATACAGAAGCATAGATCCTGTTTATACAAACCAGTGAGTTTGGGTGGGACTGACTCTTCAATCAAGATGTAGAATATAGCTGACAAGGGGGTGCTCCTTTGCAATCTCGGTATCTAGGAGGCTGAGGCAATGGGGTGACAAGTTAGAGTCCCAGCAGAGGAGGTTAGTGAGTGCCTGTCTCAACATGAAAATTAAAAAGGGCTAGGATTTAGCTCAGTGGAAACATTTTGGACTCACTTCCTCACACCTTAAAAAAAAAGTTGCAAAATATTTCCACCAATCTAAGACTTTTTTCTCTTGATTCCTATTACTGACTCACCTTCTCAGAGGCAAATACTGTTCTAATGCCTCCATTGTCATAAATTACCCTACTGATCTTGAACTTTCATAAATATGAGCACAGGGTACGTAATCTTTCATGTTCAATTTTTCTTACTCAACATAGTATTTCTGAAATTCATTTATGCTATTGAGGGTCTTAGTAGTTCATTGGTTTAGTTTGGATTGGTTTGAGTTTTGAGTTTGGTTACTGCTATTCCAATGTATTCATATACTAACATTTCCTCTAAGTCTGGGCCTTTGCATTCTACATTTAGATTTACTAACAAACAAGATCTAGTGTAAGAGAACAGAATAAGAACCACAGGAAGACATGTGACATCAGATGAATCTCTGATGCCAGATAATGAAAAGCTTCCTTTTCTTTGTCGGTGCAGTGGCTCCAAGCATAAAACTTCCACTGGCTCTCCAGTTTCCTAATGTAGAAGACCCAAGAGTTCATAATCATATCTGTAGACCATTTGTATTCTGCTTTACTAGAATACAAAACAAGGGACATTCTAACTCATCCTTCAACTATAGATGAAATGGTATGTCCAGTCTCCAGCCTTCCCATAACACTGCAAGAAAAATCTCAGTTCCTCATTTGTGTTCCAATAAAATCCACTTGTGTTCCTCACAACCCTTTGCTACAGTTTTTATTGGTTTCTACTATATTGGTTTCTTTGTAGAACTGATTCTACTTTCCAACAGAGTAAAGTGAGATTGTCCTCAAAGAAAAGGACAATCTTTTTTTAAAGTTGCTTTTGCATCCCTGGCATCCAGTACAGGGATTACACACAAATCTTGTAAATGAATGGGCAAGTGGATGACTGTCCAGATGGCTGGGTGGGTGGATGAATGGATGGATGAAAGGACGCATGGAACAATTGCAAATATTGCCATGTTGCCTATAAGTGGAACGACTTGGCTAGTTTTTTGCAATCCCGGGCAGTATCAGAGTATCACGTATCTGTTTGCTCTCTCTGTCACACATTCTTCTTGGCCAAGGAGTTCCTATCGATCTACGCACCCCTAGGCAAATGTCTGGGTAACATCTAGCAACCGGTGTGAATTCCATGCCATCATTAATTGGCTTCCCTGTGCTTTAGCAAACCTTTTCTTAAGCACTGAAGGCTGGGCAGAGTAGCTGTTAATCTCCAACCACAGAGCCCAGAAATCAATCTGGACCCAGTGGAAATCTTCCCGGTATAGGACAGGCGCCAGTGTGGAATGAGTGGCAGCGATTCTGCTGCAGCAGGAGGCTCGTTAAACACAGCCTTGTGGGTAGCTGAAAGGTGATGCTGAGCCCATTAGAGAGCTTTGTAACACTGTGAATAGCATTTAGTGCTCAGCTGTTTCTCACCCACCTCTCAGATGGTCCCAGCAGGAAACAAGCCTGTGCCTGTCATGTTTATAGCTAATTAATGTTTATTTATATTTTTAAATAAGCCTTTCACCTGTCACACTTTAAAATAAATGTTCTGCTCTTCAATTAGAGATTGTCAGAGCAGAAAGGAATCCTATCTTGTTGCGGGTTTAATGTGTGTGTATATAAATGTGTATCGGATAGGGAAATGGTTCCTTCTAAATCTCTTTCTCTCACTCATCTCACGCAGAGTCATCCTTTCCCTAGGTTTCAACCATGCCCTTGGCCAGGAGCTTGCTCCCAGGGGGCAAAGAGCAGAAATTATGGTGCTTCCTCAAGTAAAAAGCATAGCAGTCTGCATAACAATATTGTACACTTGAGCCAGTATAATGCTGGGAATTTAGAGGGGAAATTTTTGCTTTGTTCTTTTGCAAAATGGATTCAATTCAGTAAGTCTGAAATTGTCAGACCTTGCGCCTTTCAAAGATTACTCTGTCCATTAACTGGCTCCTGGGAGATAGGCACCTTTGGAATGATCTGTTGGATGCATGTCTTTTTTAGCTGTGGACTTGGACCATGCCAAATATTTGATGTTAATAATTGGGCTTTTGGTAAAGCTCTTGGGCTATGAGACATCAGTTTGCATTCCACAGAAGACTAGAAGCTGCAGGGCTAGAGTAGCCATACTCACTGACTCCTGGTACAAAGCCTGCACTTGTTCATGGCATAGAGTATGATGCTTCAATTACGCATGTACAGTGGTAGTGATCAGATCAGAATAATTAATATTTCCATCTCTTAATAATTACACTGCATTGGGAGAAAACAAGTACTATTGCCCTGGTTATCTGTAAAATATTTAATAGGTTATTATGAACTGCAGCCATTCATTCTGAAGAATGCTAGATTTTTAGCATTCCTATCTTGCGGCATTTAGGTACCCATACTTAGCCTCCTTCTAGGCCTCCTTCCACCAAACTTTGCCAACCTCTAGTAATTACTATCAGACTGCATTTTCTGGCATCCACATGTGAGGAAACTTGTAAGATTTATCTTTTGGTGTCCAGGTGATTATTAAAACATTATTCTCATAAATGTTTCAGGAGGTGGAAATACTAATTGTCCTTATTCAATCGTTACACACATTATATACGTGGGTCAGATTATCAGCTGTGCCACCAAATACATAGGTACAATAAAATGATAATAATTTAAAAGGGCACTGAGGCTCAGATGAGAGTCCCTGCTGCCAGTTGCATGGCTGCCATAGATGAGGCATTGTCCCACATCTCCTTTAGAAAGGGATACCTGGGAACTCACAACTAGTCCCACCTGGACATGCCCATGTGCCTTTTGTCTTTGCTGATTAGAGTCTGCATTTTTGCACTGGAAGAAGGTGTAATTATGAGGTCATCATTAGATCCTTCTGGAGAATCATTGAACCTGAGGATGGTGCTGGAAACACCAGCACATTCTTTCAATGAGTAAATAATGAAGAAAGGTTGGGTTGCTGGAAGAAAATCTGATTCCCACTTCTGCCATTTACTTCAGGTGACCTCAGTAAAATCATTGAGCCTGTTGCTCTCTTCTGATTTATAAATATGAGTGTATGTTATAAACCCATCCACTTTTCAACAAACAAACATTAAAAGTACTTCAGTGGGTTCACATACACGACGCTTACAAAGAGATGACTGAATTAGCCAATCTGAAAGTTTCCCCGCTCCATGTTAATTTTCTTGGGTTAGGAAAGGTCTCTGAATTTGGACATTTGTCCCTCCACATCTTTTCACACAGGTATTTTCACAATTTATAGTTCATGAATAAGCATTTCCATATGCTTGCTTGGCTAGCATCTCCTCTCTCTTATCTTGAGCCAAGACCTCTGGCTCTAAACAGTCTGTTTTGCCCCAAACTAGAAGCTTAAGAGAAAAGCCTACATATAAAAGTACCTAGAAGAGTACCAGAGTCATATTTGGAATTTGATAAGTTCCACATGAATAGAAACATCTAGAAGCACTTTTTCTTTATTTTATTCTTTGTATTTTAGTACAAGGTCTATAGGGTCTCACTATATAGATCGGATTCATAGTGATCCACCTGGATTCAGCCTCCCAAGAGCTGGGATTACAGGTGCAAGCACCACACCCAGTCTCAATCACCATCACAGCATGCTCCAGGGGTGGGGCTGGCACAGCATGCCAGGGATCAAACCCCAGTCTCTGTGTCTGCTTATGTGTGCACTTTAATCCACTGAGCTATTTGGCCACCCCTAGAAGTATTTATTTTTCAAACACTAATGCTATGTAGATTTCCTGCTTGTTCAAAAAATAGAAATTTTAAAATAGACAAAAATTAAAGACCTAGGAAATGGAATGAATACTGAACCAATAGTCTGGTCACATTGTAGGATGAACGTGTCCCCAAAGACATATGCAAAAGTTCCAATCCTCAATACCTGTGAGTGCCACCTTATTTGGAACAGCATCTTGGCAAGTGTATAAAGGTAGCCACGGTGAATTAGAGTGGGCTTTATGCAATGGTGGCATCCTGGGAAGAGGGAAATTTGGAAACCAACACGGGGGGAACATTGCCTTTAGGAGGCTGAAGCAGAGATTGCAGTTATGTTCCCACAAACCAAGGAACACTAAATAAGTTATCAACTACCACAAGCATAACAGGCACCAGAATGGCTCTCTCCTCTAGAGTCATTGGTGTGAATATGGCCTCGCAAAACCCTGCTTCCAGCCTCCAGAAATGTGAGCTAAGAAGTGTCGGTTGTTTTAAGCCACCAGTTTGAGGTACCTTAAAATGTCAGGGTGAGAAACAAATGCAACCAATATTGCAGCTTGTCAGACATCAGTCTTTAACTTTTGTTCGGTTTTTTCTTGTCTTGGCAGAGGAGAATTTGCCTCCTGGGGAGAGAATGAGCCAGAAAGGAGTGGAAATAGAAGGAAGAGACTCACCACAGGCCCCCGGCCAATGCTGCTCAGGTAGTGGAGGAGTCCTTTGGTGTGATAAATTGTTGGCTGGAGATGGGCTTCAGGAGAGAGCCACTGTCTGTTCAAATCCTCCCCTCTCAGCGAGCATCTGTGGCTTCAGGCACAGACAATAAGCAAGTAAATACACACTTAGAAGAAAATAGCTTGAGAAAATAAAACTTGACAAGATAAACAATTAAGCTAATGAATCCAACTTCCCTCTGACTTCTGCCCAACTGGCACCAGTTCCAGATGTCCAGAAAGCTGCAGATCTGTCCTCTCTGCCCCTAAAGTGACATAATTATTCACAGTTCCAAAAAGAACTAGAAACCATATTTGACGTGATATTGGATGGTCAGAGCTTTATGACAGACTTTGGGAAATGTAAAGACACACCGATGAAGACCAAACTCAATACATTATTCTCCTGGCCCTTCTGTTCTCCAACTAATTAAGGTGGCCTCAATCTATCAGACTGAGTATAATGTGTATGATTATTTCCATCCATCCTAGTAGCTCTGCATGGTGAATACTACTGCACCTCAATGAAGAGACTGAGACTCAGAAACCATTAAATAATTAGTCCGAGATCACATCACTAAAGTCTTCACCCACATTTCTTTGGGTCTAACTCTTATGCTTTTTCCTATTATATTGCTTCCCTACCCATACAGATGACACTGATACCTTAACAAGTGACTCAGAGTATCAGAGTATCTTTATCAAAGATGCCAACACAAGGGCCAGCCAGATAGCTCAGTAGGTTAAAGTGCCTGGTTAGGCAGATGCAGAGGTCTGTGGTTCAATCTCTGGCCTGCCATGCTGGCTCTGCCCCCAGAGTGCTGAGACAGCAACTGAGACTGGGTGTGATGGTGTCCACCTGTAATCCCAGCACTTGGGCAACTGAAAACAGAATAATCACTACAGGTCCAATCTGTGTAGTGAGACCCTGTAGACCCTTCATTAAAAAATACCAAAAAAAACCCAGCCAAATAGCTCTACAGATTAAAGCACCTGCAAGCAGGAGCAGGGGCCGGGGGTTCGATCCCCTGGTCTGTAATCCCCTCTCTTGGGAGGCTGTAAATAGGTGGGTCACTATGAATCTGATATAGTAGTGAGACCCTGAACACCCTATAGACCCTTCCCTAAAATAAAAAGATTCCAACACAGTATAACGCAACTAGGATGAGCTAAAAACCATACATTCCGTTGTTTGGGGGATGACTTTTTCATTCCAAAGCACCTAGTTACTTCACAAAGGTGACTCCAGCACTGAGATGCCAGTTTCCATGTAGTTTTTGTATAAATGTTGCTCTAAGACCAGAGATTATCAAGTTCAGTTCACACACCATAATTGTTCCTGAGTGTCCCACTAAAATGATATTTACTCAATAGGGTTAACCAGCAAGGTGCCAAAGATTTAGATGAGACAATCAGTCCAACTTATCCATCGCTTGGGACCTGCAACACCCCACCTCCCACCACCATATCCTTCAATACTCCAGCACACCGGGATCATACCATCTCCTCTGTGCAATTCTGTGTTTTGCCCCTTTGCCGAGACCCCAGTATTTCCCTCCATTTCTCCTTACTCAACTTCCAGGGCATCAATCCTGCACACAAACATTCCTGAATCCTCAAGATACACTGATATGTCAATTTTCTGCAGTAGCATTCTGAATTTCTCTTAACAAGACACTTATTAAACCATGTTGAATTTATTTTTTTTTTCTTTTTTTTTTTACTTCTTTTACTTTCCTCACTAAACAGCGAGGACTGGGAGCTTTCTGGGGACCACAACAGCCTGCCACTTAACATCAAAACTCTAATATAGGAACTGTGTCAAATTTGGTACTCAGTCAATAATTTGGAATAAATAAATGCACTAGCATTTAAATGTAGAATTAGATAATGTTTCCTGTTTGCAAATCACTGTATTTTCAATAAATCTTGGAGGGGGAAAGAAGTTGGTTCAGCCTCCTCCTTTCATCACTTTTTCATTTCCATGTTCTGAAATTATCTTTAAATATTAGCTGCCTGCTGCTTGTTAGCCCCCTCCTAGAGCGCCTGAGAAACAGAACATCTTTAGATTAATCATTTATCTTGATTTCACCATTAAAATATTTTGACTAGAGGAATGGTAGGTTTTGTGCATTTTCCTCTGTGGATTTTTTTTTCATGCCTTTCTCCTCCTTTCCTATTTTTAATAGAAATGACACTGAGACATAGGCTTTTTTTCTGTTTTGCCTAGTGACCAAGGATGGAGGTAAAATATGAAGAAAATCTTTAATGTCAACAGAAATGGAAGAGGGCAGGCATCTCAGGCTGGCTCCTAAGTATTTTCACTGTGCTTAGATCAATTAATTAATTTCTTTTCTCGGATCAAGGTATGTTTCAGGCACAATATCTTAAAGCCTCAGGATTCTCTTTAACAGCTCTATTATTCTCTTTGCTTTGACCTGGAATCTCATCAACACTGGAGGTTGTTTAATTTATTTATTTTTAATATTGACTATTATGAAATCCTCTGAGGTCCTTTAAAAGCATTTATATTTGGGTAAATGGAAATGGAAGCATTGTATGTGTCCAGTAGCCAGTAATCCTGTATCAGCTCTCCTAACTCTTCTTTCCCCATGCTGCATGGAGACCGAGTTAAAGGGCAATGCCTCCACAGAGAAGACCTACAGTTTGTCACATAGGAGAAATGCAACTCTATATTACAATTCCTCAAAACAAACAAACAAAAATATGCCGCAACTAGAAGCCTGTGTTTTGGTTAAGGAGACCTTTATTTCTAACTTCCAGTTCTATCATCAGGTATGGGACTTAGGGAACCCCTTTGATAGTGCATATTCTCTTATGGACAGATGTAAGTATGCTTAGCCTGTCTTCCAAAATAATTTTGAAGATCTAGTGAAATGATATCTGCTTTACTTACATTTTCATACAACTATATCTGCCTACATCTATGTTTCTGACCATATCCACACCTGTATCCATGTCCTCATCTGTATCTATGGCTATGTTTTCACCTATATTTATAATGGTCTGGGATGTGGAGCACAATTGAAACCCTGTCAATAATTTCCTTACTTCATCTTTTTCCATTTGAAGAACAATCAAGTAGCTATGCGCAGGTTAAATGGAACAGAGAAGATGCCTGGATGGGGAACCCTGAGAAAAGGCTATGGACTATGTTAAGTACCTACTGACGTTAGCACATTCCAGGTTGTGGACAGTAGGACTGAGCAGAAAAGAATTCATCCAAGAAAATATTCCAAGTGAATAATCAATAGAAATTGCTGACTGAATTTATGTCATTAAACTGCCAAAGAGAGGACAGCACTTAAAATTACCCAAATGCATAATTTTGGGGGGAAATTAGGCCAAGGAAAGATACATAGAAATTAGGGAAGCTGTTAATTTGGGACAAGTTGATTTTGGTTGGTTCCTTTGCAGAGGTGGAGGCAATATATCGCTCCTTTGGTAGACATGGCTTGCACGGATTTTGAAGCCCCATAGGCTTATATTTGTATTAAAGCATTTCCGTCTGACAGTGATTTTGAAGTGTGCTCCTATGACTTTGGTAGTTCCTCCACCAGTGCAATTGCAGACTATCACAATCTGTACTACCCCAACTTGATAATTTTTCTTTTTAAAGAAAATCCATTTGCATTCAATCTTCACATGCACTTGGTATTTTGTGTTAATAATATCAGAGATGCATGTAGTCTGAAGAACCGCTGCTGTTCTTTCCAGGGATTTGTTTTACACATTTGGAGATAAAACGCACCCCATCTTATTATCTACTGTAGCATTTCTGCAATGACAGCTGCTCCTTCGACGTGGAGAGAATCAGCAGATGGACAGGGACAAGTGGCTGGCAATAAATTCAGCACCTATAATTTTTTGGAAAAGGGTCATTCCTCAAATAGAGTTTGAAGTCCTGCTTTGCTTATAAGAAGAATAAAGTAGCGATCATCATTATTTCTTTCCCCCACAGAAAATTGCAGTCTTATAAGGAAAGAAGAATGTACTTCCTTTTTTTCCACAGGCAAGTCATTTGATCAACTAATCCTCTTCACTTTTTAAAGCTTTAGTTAAAATAGAGTCTTACTGAAGATAAAGCTTATGTGCCCAAAGTATGCTAGACACAGGGCACCCAACCAGCCATACTGACCAGGCATGTTTCAGTTTTACTCTTGAAACTCCTGCATCTTAGGGTATCTCTTAGCAACTGCAAAACAAATCCTGATGCCCTTGTCCAGGTCCCTAATTCTGGGAGTATTCATAATGCTAGGATCCCTGACCAAAAGCAAGCCCAGCTCAGCATATTAATATGGCCTTAATTTTTATACCTCGTTTTTATACTTTTCTGCTGGATGGCTAAGACCAAAATAAAGCGAGACCTATATAACAAAAAATGTAACTTTTGTATCTGACAAGGTCAGGCAAATCACCTCAGGATTTACCCTGAAGCCCTGTAATGCAGTTCATAGATCCTTTGGCAGTGTTAGCCATGTGAATGGGTCACTGCCATTGCTTAACCAATTTGCTCTCTGTGAAAGCCTGAGAGAATGATTTTCTCCATGTGACTTTCCTTCACACTCTACATCATCGATCATGCTGTTTGGTGGCCCTGTAAGCTCCTTGATCAGAAAATTAGGGACACAAATGAGTTACAAGATGTAAAAGGCTCAAGTCAACAACTTCTGACATTGCCTGTCCTACAAATAATCCACTACTATTATGGAATACAGGACTATATTGTATTATTTTGCTGAATTCGTATACCTACAATATTTAAATGTCAATGGAATACCCATCTCTGACAAAACTAAACAAAAAAGTGGATACAAATGAAGGACCATTTTGTATCTGTATAAACAAAATAGTTAGAATAGATATACAGCTACTTTTTCTTAATTCAATAAGAAGAAATACTTATACTAATAGTATTTGGTCAGGATATCATATCTGCATCTTGTACTACAAATAATCACTACAAAGACAACAATATGCAATGTATTAATTATTTAAACTGCCCTAGTAATCAGTTTTAAACCTGTCTCATTGCCATTTCTTTCTCAATAAAATAAATAAATAAATGAAAAG